TACTAGTATTTGGGTTGAATCACGTTCATACCATAAATTTGTTAGAAACAAATTTATGGTATGAACGGTATGGTTGTTTTGTTTTGTTCTCAACCCAAGTGCAATTACTGTGTTCTGTTAAATTTATATAGTGGCCGTTTGCTGTTACTGGTTGGGGGTTAAGGGAAGAAAAAATATAATAATAGTAAATCTAATAATAAATACTGAATAAATATATTCAGTAAGTGGGAGTCTCTGGGAGAAATCTGTGTTGATACCTGAGGCTGAAGGAGAAAGGCAGGGCTGATTTGACTTGACAGGAAGTAACTCAAATGTTATTAATAATGTATCTAAACATTCAATTGTATAGAAAACAATAAACCTTTGATCAAGTGAGTGTTAAGGGGACATTACAGGATTGTGCAGCAACAGCTCCTTGAGGCTCTGGACATCCTCATTAAATGTAGCAGACATCAGGAAAGACTGGTAGATATTTGGTAAATGGCTGTTTAAAAAAAAAAAGAAAAGAAAGAAAGATAAAAAAAAAAACAGTTAAATTTGACATTAAGGCTACAATAACTAACCTAAACCCAACTGAAGCCAAACTAAATGTAAACACAGGCAACTTGTGGCTGCAGGGAAGAAAAGTATGTTTGGTGGTCTCTGAAAAAGACTGATGCTCCAATCTAAAACAGATTTTTGCTTCATTTCTTTTTTACCAAGTTTGAGATTTTAAGAACAAGAACAGAAGAAAACTATGATGTGAAAAAAGAGACTTCTTTCTTCTTTGCCTCTTACATTTAAATTAGTTTGGAAAATGGATGAGTTGAAAACATTATTAGCTCGTGTCATATTCATAAGAAGGCTATAACCTATAACACTATTACACATGTAAGTTTCATGCAACTTTCACCTAAAAAAGGCTGGGAATCTCTCATTTAAATCCCGGACGTTAAAAACAAACAAAAACACCACCTTTCTAATGCAAATTTTAAAACAAACAGCAGCAGGAGACGCTTGCATGAAGCGAGTTCCCTCTGGTGAAAATCTGTACACCCTCACCACAACAAGTTCTTCAGGTCAGACTCAAAGCCAAAAGAGAAGATTAGGTCGGCTTCGTCTACCACCAGCATCTCAAGAGAAGAACGCAGGACCAGGTTCTGTGCGTTGAGATGGGCAAGCACACGGGATGGCGTCCCCACAACTACATCCGGCTTCTCCATTAAAATGGGCCTGTCCACACATAAAAGTGATCATTTAAAATACATCTCCTCGTTTGACAACACGGACTTTTTTATTAATCTATGAAGTCCACAATTACGCTTTGCGGATTTAAAAATATTATATAACTGCAATACTGTGGAAAAATGCAGGCACTTGAAGTCTTTAGATTCTTATCACACAATCAGGGACTTTTGAGCTTGCTAAATGCACAACAGAACAATAAACCCAAGCAAAGCATAAAACAGGAAGGGGTAAGAGCAATTAAAATCAAAAGAACAAGGAGGACTGTTCACTAGCAAAATGATTGCAGATTTACAAAAAAAAAGAAATTAATTAATAAATAAAATACTAAAAAAAATGACCGTACCATGAAATCAAATACAGACGTTACAGTACCATTGTACCATGATAGATCAAATTCTACTTTACTGTATTCATAATTCCATCAGTATTGACATGATCCCAAACACCACTGGCTGAAATGCAGCTCTAAAGCATGGCGAGACCTCCACAATGTTTTAGAGATTACTGTAGCCACACACAGCTGCACCCATCTTCTGACGTGTTCCATACATGTTGGCACTAATCAGAACCAAAGTGAGAACAAAAGTAACCTGATGACAGCAATATTGAGGTCACTGTGTTTTTTTCTGTGGAGTACGTACTCTTTCCGTGAAGTTAAACGATAAATAAAAACTATTCAGACCACGTGGACCAGTGTCTCCCACACAGACTTTATTTGAACAGACCGCTTCAGCTTTCTGACTGAAAGAAATGTGCTGACCTCTGTGTTGATAGATCAACCTTGCTAGAGATGTCGGCCACTCGGACGTCCCTGGAGCAGTACGCTGTTAACTGTCTCATCATAATCTGAACTTGGTGACCCAGTTCTTTGGTTGGCACCACAATCAGAGCCCTCACATCTTGCTCACGCACAGTCTAACAGGAGAAACAACAAACAGTGAATAAACAACTCTGGAGTAAAACAAATTGTCTGGAGAACAGAAAACATCATCCTAAACAATGGGAACACCATTTTGTTTTTTAAATTTTATACACTAAACAATAAAAAACAAAAAACAAAATCTGGAGAGTCACATTCTCTAAGGTGCAGAGATCATCTAAGATGAAAGTAATATCAACCTACAGTGTGTAAACTCAGCATTTGAATCTGCTTCCAAAAGCGTTATTGCTGTTTCTCACCTGTTTGGAAGCCAGGATGCGCTGTATGACAGGTATACCATATGAGGCAGTCTTCCCAGACCCAGTCCGGGCTCGAGCCAGAAGGTCCTTTCCATCTAAAGCCAAAGGGATTACCTTTTCTTGGATCAGAGTGGGCTTTGACCATCCCAGATCTGCGACTGCCTGAGTCAAGAATAAAAAACAAAAAAACCCAGAGGTGAAACAAATTATTATAGTGACACAGACAAATGTCAGACAAATCTCAGTTTAATATTTGGTGCAGAGCATTCCCCATGTTGACTGCTGTGCTAAATGTAAATGGAGCAGTTTTCTCATCTACTTGAGCACTCAGAGTGCTTTATACAACATGTCTCATTTACTCAATCACACAACCACTTTTTCTACACTTAAGCGCTTAAAACACACACACACACACACACACACACACACACACACAAAAAAAACCAAACCCGAAAACAAAACAAAAAACCCACTGAAAACAGGGAGGTACAGGGCTGGACTGAAAATGAATGAAAAAGCAGCAAGCATGTCCACAAAAACAAACAAACTCTGCAAAAAAATTTCAACAAAAGGACTGGCAACACAGCAGCAGCAGTGTAACATGGAGCTGGAATTTGTTTACACACACACACACATACAGCAAAGAGTCTGAGCTGGCTCCCCCAAATGCAGCCCCCTTCGAGGCCCACCCTATCCCAAGATGCTTTGCATATTGGTGAAGAAATCTTTGAACAAAAATGACGGACAGTCGAAGTGAAGTGGTCCAGGAATAAACTTGTTACACATAAAATCTGTACATCTGCCCAACCTTATTTATTTTATCTTGTGTGTATGCGTTTGTTTTTTTTGTTCTTCATTTTGTCATTGTTCTACTACCGGTATGTGTTTTACTCTATTGTTTAGTGTCCTTGAGTGTCTTGAAAGGTGCTTTTAAATAAAAGTTATTATTATTATTTCTGTAGGATTTTATGTCCAATTTCACCTTTCTTATTTTTTCCTTTTGATTAAAATATATAAAATATGTCCATGGGATTCTAAGTCAAAATTGTGTTTTCATTTTGCAAGTTAACAAAAATAGCAACATTTTATAAAATATCTGTTAAATGCCATGGTTGAAGTGTCCAAAGTCAAGAGAGACTAAGAAACCCACACTGCAAAGTGAGAGGTGACAGGATAGACACTTTCCACCCTTGACGATAGGCCAAGACAAATTGTGTGTGGAAGATTAGAAGGAAGAGAAGCCAGAAGCAGCCAAGAGCTGGAGAGGAGAACAGGGAGAGAACAGAGCTGTTCTCTGTAGCTGAGGAGAACAGCTGTCTATTAACAACAACAATAAGAATAACAATAAACACATTTCATTTGTAGTGCACCTTACATTTGCAAAACAAAAATTGGAACTAGCCCTTTTTTGTTTTACATTCTAACCGTAAAATTTTATTGCATACAATGAAACACGGATCTATAATTTTTGTAGTAGTTTTGTAGTTTCATTGCTAAAAAAGAAGGACAAATTCAATATGGCGGACGCGCTAACGGGTCGCAGCAACGGGTGAGCCCCCTCCCTCAATGTGGCGTCTGTGTATGCATGTTTATGTCGAAATCATCATTTATGGGTTAACTGAATGCCCATTTAAGTAAATATCGTTATAACCGGATTTTGTCATACATGATAAACGGGACACTAGGAAGGCAGTTACAACCAGGAGAAAGTCAAAAACAATGTAGGGTAATCAAACTGTTATTAGCTTTTGATAAAAGTTCGAAACGGCGTCTATACTAGAAAACAGCGGACATGATTTCTATTACTTCTGTAATCCAGCATTTTTCCATGTCTAGTAATTTCACCTACGCACAACTTCATGTTTGCATAAAAACTTAACTCTGCCACCGAGCGAGCAGTTCCGACTCCCGAAGTAACTGTCGGATTTTCAAACTTCTCGGAGGATTTTATTCTCCACCTGAAAATTCACAGTTCCCCCGACAGCCTCGAAGTTTGTTACCTTTAGCAGGCGGTCGTCTAAGCCCATTTCATGGAATTGTAGCCTCTCATGAGCCATCGCTCGTCTCTCACCAAGCTCACACGTGCGTCGCAAGTTTATGACGTCATGTCGCTTTTAAGCACCTCCGAAATAAAAGAAAGAACATTTTGTAGTCAATCTCTACTTTATATCTAAAAAGTGTACTTTTTAAATACACAACACAGTTTTCTTGCTCTTAAAAAAGAAACTGAAGCATATTTCAAATACATTACCAAGGTTTTATATATATATATATATATATATATATATATATATATGCACACAATCATTTTCCCTATATTTTTTTCCGTAGAAAGCCCAAATTTTGATTTTTTTATGGTTAGATTGTTTTCAGTGGGTCTAACGTTTCTTCATTCGATTTTTAAATGATTTATTAAATCAGTTATTATTAAATCAGATTTAAAACTAATTTTATTAATTGTAATTTGTAATTCATAACATATATTATTTTCTGCACATGGGTCTTCCTAAAGAAAAACTAAAACGTAGTCAGTTTTATGACAGAATTTTCCATCACTCTTTATACAAGGAGAACAACACCGCACTACCCCAGCGGTGTGATGGAAAGTTCCAGAGCAGATGGACCTTGTGGTAAGACTGCTATTCATTTTTTCCTACCTTGACATTTTTAATGCTTTACCCCAATTTGACCAGCAGATGGTAGCAAACACCACAATGACTAAAATCCATTAATGTTAAATAATACCATTAAAGCCATCATTTCAGTTAGCAATAGCAACATTCGCATAAAAACTGAAAGATCCCTCTTCGATCCCAGGAGTGCTCACAAATCCTTTTGGGGTTGCGTCGGGAAATAAACTACCTTCAATTGCTTCCTTTAGTCACAATGGTGTCAAGAAGTCGGTGTAAAAATCTTCCAAATCAAATATGCAGACTTACTCGCTGTGGCGACCCCTTGTGACCAATGTGACTAAAGGAGCAGCTGAAAGTCGCTTATTTCAACACAACCGACTATAAATTGCCACAGAGAAGAACTGGAGAAGCTCTTTGTACTGTGTAAGCTCACATTATTTTAAATTTCGTTAAATTTCGTTTTATAACGGGAGCTATGTCCTCGGAGTCACGCACCTCAATGAAGACTTGTTGAGAAGACGGTGAAGATGCCCACTGAATGCAATAGCAGCTGTCTCGTCTACACAGTTATCCTCCCATAACAAATAAATTAGTCAACATGGCCGCAGAGCACCTAGCCCCACATAACTGAGACACGGAATAAAACAACACAGGTAAATACAAATATGGTATTCGCGTTTTTAAAAAACACGTAAAATTCATGATCTGCATGCTTTTGTTTGTATCCGCAACTGTAAACTAACATGCTACGAATTATTTACATAAAGCTATAGGTACATTTGTTATTAAAATGTCATATTCAAATAATAAACGTAAGGATTACAACACACAACCAGTTTATATTTTAATTCTATTCGTTTTATTCTGAACGCGCGCGCGTGTGAATTTCTTTAATAATAATAATAATAATAATGATAATAATAATAAAAGACCCGTTCTTTTCATCTCTGTTTTCACAGATTTAATGGCGTTCATGTCTCGATTCTCTCGGTCCCGGAGCAGCTCCAGGTCTCCGAGCCGAAAAGACTCTGAACGTTCCTCCCCGATTCTGACCGTCTCCGAGCTAGAAAGGCTCCTTTACACGGGCAAAACGGCCTGCAACCATGCAGACGAAGTGTGGCCACGACTCTATATCGGAGACCAGTGAGTGTTTCTAACCTCTAAACGGTGACAGAAGAAGTAAATACTCAGAGTGTCTTAATAACAGTGAATAAATACTTAAAGTATTAATTTCTTAGTAATTACTAGAAATAAAAATACCCATTACTTATTACGAGTGAGTAATGAGCACCCAATGAGAACTAATTTTAATGAAGTAAATATTCTGGCATTCCACCATATAAGCTGAAAGTTGTTTAGTCTAAAGCAAGCGTATTTATCTAACATCTATATCTAGCTCCATCACCCAGCAGTATCTGTTTGTCTCATTCATAAGCTTAGGAGTCACATAAGAGTTACATGTCAGCATAAATCATACAAGTTATGTAGTCAAGTGAAAACAGTTTAACTGCTAGAGCTGGAAATACCTTCTCTCCTCTGCAGGGACATTGCATCAGATCGACGGGAATTGGCCAAACTTGGCATTACACATATCCTCAACTGCGCACAGACGAAGTGGCGCGGGGGAGCCGAATATTATGCTGGGATGAACATCACCTATCATGGCATTGAGGCTCATGACTCACCAACTTTTGACATGAGTGTTAACTTCTATCCTGCTTCCGAGTTCATTCACAAAGCCCTCACCAGTGGAGGTTAGTCTGAGTCTGTGTGTGTGGGGGTCTGTGTGGGTAGATTCTCTGCTCTACTGTGTTTGATTTTAATTTTATGATCTATTGACTTTTAAATCTATGCGCTCTTCCAATTGTTATTTTTTGCATGCTGTGTTTTTTGTTATTTAATTGCTTACAAGGTATCTTTGATTCTTTTGAAAGATGGCTATGAAAAATGTATTATTAATTGATAACATGAGGGAAAATTATCACTTCAAATAGCAGGTCATCTAGCAGTTAGAAGCTCTGTGTTCTGCATATCAAAAAAGGATCCTGGGGCAAGACTGAACCCCATATAACCCTGATGGCCTGATGGATAGATATTGACTAAAGTAATTTTAAGTAAAAACGAGTTATTATATTACTAGAGTAAACAAATACATTTGTTGTTTGACCTAAGACTTAAGACCTAAGACTGTTCTTTGACCTAAATGGTAAATGGCCTGTATTTGTATAGCGCTTTTCTAGTCCCTAAGGACCCCAAAGCGCTTTACACAACCTGTCATCCACCCATTCACACACTGGTGATGGCAAGCTACATTGTAGCCACAGCCACCCTGGGGCGCACTGACAGAGGGGAGGCTGCCGGACACTGGCGCCACCGGGCCCTCTGACCACCACCAGTAGGCAACGGGTGAAGTGTCTTGCCCAAAGACCTAAGAAATTTTCAGACTGTAGTATCTTCTACATTTTAAATGAATCTCTTTTTGATCTAGGAAAGGTCTTATATAACTACTGGGAAAGCTTAATGTAACCTTGCTTTAGCAGATTCATCCATTTGTATTTGAATGGCCCTGTTTTTAGTTTATAAATTTTCCCACTACATGCTGTTGCTTCTTCAAAAACACTTAAATGTTGTGTTATATAGTTAGACTTGTGTGGCTCAACAGGTCTAAATAATGATGCAAATGTCTGATGTAGTGAAGAAGAAGAAGAAAAGAGGAATTTGGGGCACAGCCCTTGTCTTAACTGGTCATTTAGCTTTTTCTTTAAAGTATTAACAAATATTTAGTATATTGCTTTACACTGATTACATGAAACTATTTTCATTTATATAAAATATGTATAAATATTTTTAGGGTAGCTAATAGTCTTTTGTAAATCATCAATTTATCCTAGTAATTTGCACTGGGATGAGGGGAGCAACCATTTGTGTTTAATAGCATTGATCAGGGGCACAGCTATCCTAAAACCACGCTGAAGATTGTAATATAAACAAACATCCACAAGCTCACACTCTGGTTCTGTATGTCTCTTTTGCAGACTGTATAAAAATAATGGAAGTTTGTGACATCATCCATTGATTTCTGGAATCTGGCGTAATGTTAGTTTTGTGGCCACTGGCATGTTGTTTTTGGAGCCAGAGATGGTGGGAATTCCAATTGCAGAACAAACTGATCATTTTAAGCAAAACATTTTGACCTAACATTTTGTAATCTTATGGAATTATTTATGTCAAAATTTTCACGCAGGAAAAAACGTAATCTAGAATTAAATTCCTCTGCATAAATTCAACAACCTGTGCATGCAGAACTTTGATTCACACTCTCACTCTTGCTCCTGCAAATGAACTGAATTTTGACTGTTTGGAGCAGAGCCCAAAGGAAGAGGGGTTCTAATGTGATTGGTCACTTTTAATGGACATTTCAGGTTACTGCATTAAAGCAAGGTGGCGCCATGATCAGCATTGTTTTGAACCGTATTTGTGTACAATTTGGAAACTAAATTTGGAAGCCTCTCCAGTGCTTATGTTGCTGCCAAATGGTCACTCAGTGAAACACAGCTGTACACCTCTGGCTGCAGAGTTCCACTCACTGCGGGTTCAGGTTCCAGTATTATAGGTCATCTAGATAAAGTTACACGTCCGCTGAGCAGTGGACAGAGAGGAGTATGTGACAGACTGTCTTTTTACAATATATGACAACAATAAGTAGCTCATTTGTCTGATCTAAACAGTTCAGGTTGTTTCTATCATTTTACGTAAATCATCTTATGTAAATCTGGTGGTACTTAGATCTGTGTTTACTAGTAAAGTATTCTTCACTGTTTTGATAAACAGTGAACAAATGCTCTGATCAAATGCTGATTATCAGCATTTTACAGCTTTGGACGAAGTTTCCTAAATCTGCTACTTATATAAAAGTAATACAATAGTGTATGTATATTCAGTAAAAATAACATTTTACTGAAATAAAAGTATAAATGTGCTGCAATAAAATCTACTTGAATCTCCATAAAAGTATTTACTCATTAAAGTCTCCACCCGAGCTGGAACAAATTCACTGTAGCTAAAACACACCATAACTTATTATTTATTTTGCCTGTTTATAGTTTGAATAAATTACAAAATCACTATGAAAGATTTGATATGTGTGCTGCACATCAATAATTTGTTGTCTTCAGGATTTGTTGACTTTTTGAAAGTTAAGTTTGCCGTTTTAACCATAGCTGTAATTTCCACTGTACATGGGTGGATGTATTGATTTATCACTGGCTTCACTCTAATACAGAAAAAAATGCAAAACCTGAAACTCATCCAGTCATGATACGTGCAGTTACATGTGTTGCTGAAGGCTGAGCAACTTTTTATTGGCGAATGAAATGTCTGTATTTTGGCCAAAGTTATAATTGCTGGATCACAATGCACACTTACTTTCCTGAGCCTCATTATGTTTGTTTGTTTGTTTGTACAAGATATTGATATTGTACAAGACTAATGGAACAGGAGTGCTGAGGCTTCAGAGCTCGCCTTAGAATCCTCCAGTTTTAAAGATTCGTGTAATCCAGTGGCAGTTGTTGATATTTCCACTGCTACACAGCAAACAATAACTGTTGACAAACTTCATTTTTCAAATAGTAAAAAAATGCATTTTAAAACAACGCTGATGTTTCTGCCACAGTGGATACAAAGCAAACAGTTTTGTGTATGTGCTGGGTTCTTTGTGTGCATGGCTACTGAGTTCTATGCAGGTTGTTTAATTTGCGTGGACTTGTGATTATGTTTTTTGGTATGTGCAGGTAAGGTTCTGGTCCACTGTACTGTGGGAGTGAGCCGCTCAGCTACTCTGGTGCTAGCCTACTTGATGATCAGACAAAATCTGACGCTTGTGGAGGCCATCAAGACAGTAAAAGACCACAGAGGTGTCATCCCTAACCGAGGTTTCCTCCGCCAGCTGAATGGCCTGGACAGCATCCTGAGAGAGAGCCGAAAGACATCACCGTAGAGCTGAAAATACTGTCAAGACACACTCCACCTGAGGTAGCAGCCCATTACACTGGGAGATATTCTGGGACCAAACTAGGAGCAACCTGTGAATTTCTGACTTTGCATCTCTGAATGGTAGCCAGTGATACCACAGATCAAGTGATGCCATTATTTTCATAGTCAATTTGCTCAGTTTGTTTAATCTTTGTAGTTCCGTAGACTCTGAAACAGCAGCACCAAATAATTTTATATTCCTTAAGATATCAAAGTTTACTGGTACATTAAGATTCTAAAAATTAGAAACTTTTATTAATAATTCCACTATTTCCTTCAAAGTGTTTTTTTCAATTTGTAACTGACCTCTGCCTTTCAGATTCATTCACGCACATAATGGTAGAAATTTTACAGCAACATCAGTTGACCTATGTAAGTTAAGTAGTAAAACCTTACCTTTGACTTATAGGATTCAAAAGTTGACTGCGAGTCCAAAATTGAGGAAACTGCTGCACGGGGTTTGAGTCAGATGTGAAACAGGAGTTTGGTGTGTAACCTCACTGTCTGAATTATGTTAATTTAGGCTACGTCCACACTAGCCCGGATAGATTTGGAAACGGCGTTTTCGTCTGAAAACCCTCCGCGTCCACGCTGTGCGTCCACATTGAAACAGCCAAAAACGCTTACGTTCCAGTCCTGCGCATGCGCAAAAGTGCTTGAGAATTAAAGAATTTGAAGAAAAGCTATCTGGAGCATGTACAAACTGATATTAATCTTTTTTAGGGCTGTCAAAATTGAGAGCAATCAAAACAACTGCTGTATAATGCCCTCCACTATCTTTGTTTAATTGGTCACATGAATGCATCACAGGACTAAAATGCATCATCGTTTTAGAAAGTCTGCGTTTTCGAGTGTCCACACTGCGACGGGACAGCTCCGTTTTGAAATATATGCATTTTCGAGAGCGTTTTCAAAACGCTGCGTTTTTCCTTGGGGAAAACGCCATCTCAGTGTGGACGGGAGGCCAAAACGGAGAGAAAACTATGCGTTTTCAAACGAAAACACATTAGTGTGGACGTAGCCTTAACTTAGCTTCTATTTATTGATCTGAGATCTAGTTTCGATGCTCGGTAAACAATTTTTGCACATTTATGGCTTTAGACTATAATGACAAGGGGAAAACACCTACGTTAAAAGTATAAAGGACTAGAAACAATCATTCTTATGGTTGACAAGTGCTAACATGTTTATTCATGGTACCATGTTTGCAGTTATCTTGCCAGCCACAGATGTCCACAAAATTTATGCCAAAAACTTTTACAGGATTCATCTACACATGTTTTTGGACGCTTCTGCAGTTTCGAACTCATATCCATTGTTTTTCTTTTTAGTCAAGCTTGTAGAGAACACGTCTAACAGAGATTCCTGTCTGACTTTTTTAAATTTCAGAAGAAAATAGTCAACCTGAGGCAGGTTATCGCCAACCTGATTAACATATCTGGGGTCTGAACCCAGCAAAGAGTCACAAAATAACCCCAGCAGACACTGTGATATTGAATAGGATGTTAATCTTTTTTGTTATCTAGTCTTTGTAGAGAAATAGTTCCACATATGAGTTGTGCCAAGGTTGCAGATGTGAGTTTACTGTTGTCTTGACATACTTTCTGAGTGTTGTCTGACTTTCTAGCAAGAGAAAGTATGTGTTCAAGAATGGTTTTATATCAGTATTTTAATGATTACAACAAAATGAAATAAACAAAACTGCCTCAACCCAGAGAGAAGTAACAATATCAAAAAGCTTCAGCTGCTTAGTTTAAGCTAATCAACCACACACTGAACTATACACTGAACTACTCAGATCACAAGGTTTATAATGCTGTTTATTGGTCCTGGTAGTCCAGAAACGTTAGGTTTATAACGTTTTGTGTAAATTCCCTCTCAGTTGTAAAAATGAGAGGGAATTTACACAAAGGTAACACAAAGGTACTTGGCTTTAAAGTTATGTGAAGATAAGAATTTTAAAACAGACTCCATGTTCTTGTCTGTCTATTTGGAATTAACATTATGTGGCTGTAACTGCATTACAAAATATATTTTTAAATAGATAAGAAAAGTGAAAGATGCGAGTGATATTACAAAAATCAAATCATTAAGCCTAAAATTCAAACAGGCATTGTTGTTTAAAATAGTTGTATAGATTTACAAGTCTTAAAGATTTGTGAATCCACTTCATGCCTGAAATTAAACTGGCAGATGTTTTAAAGTGGTTAATGAAGTTATGAGGTCCTTTGCAGAAAGGAAAGGTATTTTACTATGATCAAAAATTATAATATGTAAAAGTAGAATAGAATCGTATATTAAAATAAACCTCAGCCTGTTAAAAAAACATGATGAAAATTGGCAGAAGAAAATTGTTTGTGCTAGGAAATTTAAATGTTTGTGTGACAGCAACATTAGGCCCTGTGTGATACTCCATATCAATTTAATGTATTCCCTCATCACGTTGAAAGTAATTTCTTTAAATGTTCCACAACTTTAGCCCGAATCTTATGGATAAAATACACGGGTCACTGTTATGATTCAGGAGTGTCAGTAATTAAAAACTGATCACAACTGACCCTAAGCAGACACGTTCCTTGTTGTATTTTCTAGTTAATATAGAGCGTAAATAAGTTATATCAACCCCCAAAAATGTCCTTTGTGATATTTTCCCCCATGGTTCCAGTCACTTTTGCATTTGTGAAGTGCCCTATAACCCGGATCTAATCCAGCAAAGTTATGTAGCTTATAGAATTCCAGCGTAATTACAGCATATAAAATGTAATTATTTGTTTGTGAACACAAAAGCAAATGCACCAATTGCAATTTGGTTGTTTGCTTCCAAGTTCCTTTTTTTGCTGATTCTGATTTTTTTTTTCTAAAAACTATAACTTACAGCATATACAAACAAACTTTTCAACTTTTCTCAAAGTAAAATATTATTTTCATACTAAAAGAAATAATTAAACTTCCTAAATCCCCAAAATTGCATTAAATAACAGGATCTTCTCTTTTTTTAAACAGTGAAAAGAGGTACAAATAATTAACAGAAATGAGTTGGTATATACCCACTGTTATCTGACATATCTTAACTTACCAAAAGTAAGCAGGTGGATTTATATAACAAAACAAATATCAGGTAGTTGCATTATTTCCAGTATGTTTATAAATTTACCAGATAAAATTATGTTGACCTTTCTTTAACATTTTTTTAAAATTTTCATAATTTTTCTTGTAACTGTTTTTTTGTCAGAGCAGCTTCTGGTTGGCTCTGAGCTCTGAATAGCATAAGGCTGTTCCAAGTAGATGGTCCCTGGCCAAGCCATTGTTGCATCTTTAATTAATTAGTTGCTTACAATTTGGTGTTGTGTAAGTAAACCTTTTTATGGGGTAATTTATCAAAATAAATTCGTGCTCTCTAAGTATCTCCCAGTCCAGTGTATCACCTTAACTTTACAGTGACTGTTAGCTGTCCAGAGTACTACTCGAAGTGAAGATGTAGTATGCTAGCTCAAGAAGCATTTTGAGTAGACATGCAGTGAGAGACAATACCACAGATGTGCCATTGCAAAAGCTACCAACTGCCTGGATAACATACACAGTAATCATGCTGTGTGCACAAGTCGGGTAAAGTCTGCTGTTTTGTCTTGATGTTAAAAGTGAGGCTTGTAAAAAAAAAACTTTAGAAGAGCCAATTCTGTGCTTTTAACCAGCATTTCAAATACTTTCCAGTGTGTTACTAATGATTACCTCAAGAATTATGTTTCAAACACATATTTTGTGGCTTGTAGAATTTGTGCTGTGTAACATCACCATGTTGAGGTACAAGGGGGAATGAAGTGAGCATTGTTACTCTCAGCAAATGGAGATAAAAATAACCCCCCAAAATGAGGATCTGTACAGTGACATATGCTCATTTTATATATATATTAATAAATAATATTATAGTATATATATATATATATATATGTAGACGCATTAGTGTTAAAATATTGGATTTTCATATTAAACATGTTTAAAGTTTCAAGCACTAATGCCAGTGTATTTACAAGTAATTTTTACGTACAAGTAAAACCTCTGGCTTCACATTGTACAGTTTCACACAGCTTTTTTCTACTCTTAGCTCTTTATTATCTCAGTGAGTACAGATATCTCCAATAAGGTCATCTCAGGCACACAGCTCTAGTCTCCCAACCCATATGGTGTTCAAACCTGTTTGCAAGGAGCAGCAAATCTAAAGAAAGTTGGCTGTTCTTCAGACAGAGGATAAACTTAGTGCCTGCACCTACACCCAGCATAAAAGAAATAGTATAATCTATTATGATTGAAGAATAAAAATGAGAATCTGGAAATGAGCAGACTGTGTTATTACTATTGCTCTCAGCAGCTTGGTTGCTGGCAAATATGAAGTGTTGTCAGAATCTCCAAGTAAGAAATACATTCCTTCCCACGCACTGCTGGCTCTGTTGTGCTTGTTCCAGGTCCATTGTGTAACTGACGCCACCAACATTAACAGGACGCTTACATTAGAGACTCGTATTTTGCGTTTTGTTTGGGTTTGCGGGGAATTGCCAAAATTAGAGACGGGACAGCTTGTGAAACAGGAAATAACTGCAGTGTAATCCATTTATTTCAACACAGTAACTGTATTCTTATTATCACTTTTTTAAACAGTAACTGTAATGGAATACAGTTACTCATATTTTGTATTTTAAATACATAACGCCGGTACATGTATTCCATTACTCTGCAACACTGCTCTTGGCAAGAAAGGGTGTATTTCACAAAATACATACCTGTATTTTGAACCATAGTATTGGAACGCAAAAAAGAACAACAAGCAATCTGAACTCAACTGTCATGACTTTTCAGTCACAATTTGTGTGCATTTTATAGGGAATTAATTGCATCTTAACTGGGTGCTTAGGGCTCATTAGATAATCAAATGGCCACATCAGACTATAACTTTCTGTTATAGAAAGCATATAAAGATGGATGGAATACCCATTATCACTTCCTGCCTTTTTAGCCCATGTCTTTGAGTGTAACTAGCATGACATTACCATAGTATTGTAGCCACAACTTGTGCCTGACCCAAATGGTAGCTCACTTGATAACAGTAGTTTATTGTTGTATATCTAAAATGCTGTATCAGCCATAAGAGAAACTATTAAAAAATGTTAAAAAGTCCTCCAATGTTTTTATGTACAATATCTAAACAGATGCTAAAACATGTCTACATTACTTATTTGTTCAAAGGAGCTACCTGTCACTTTCAGTCATCAGATACCTTTTTTTAGAATCAAGCAACTAAACAGTGACAAAATATCACAGTGATGCGTAAAAGTCAATTTGACTACATATTTGCTACAATTGATAAAATGTGTTTTAGTCAGGCTCATATCCTCTATGCTAACAAGAATAGGGAGCTGTGATGTTGTCCATCTTAATGTCTATGCCTTGCAGTATTAAAAATTACTTCTACTGGCAAAAACCCACTTTATGTGTGTTTTTTTGCAAGGACTGTGGTTCCGTCATTCCAATTCCATCGCAGGTACAATTTTTAGTGACCATTAACTTAAGGGCAATATACATAAAAAGTGATAAGTGAAAGAAATGCAAACGGAAGATGTAAC